TTTTAAAAATTACGCACATTTAGGGTTAAAACAGCCAATCTTTTTCGGACAGGTGGACACACGCCCTTATTTGTTAATTTTTGTGGTTGTTTATGAGCTGTTCTAATTTTGATTTCATTCTGTTGTGAAACCTTTCTTTTTCACATTTTTACACTCATCTAAAAATCTCTAGACTAGCTCTTGAAAATTGAAATAGATCTAGATTCTAGACCCAAAAATTTGCTCCTTCCCAGACCTTGCAGAATGGCAGAATGAAAGTTGGCGCCGAACTCTCGCAAATAGGCAAAAATTCACGAGACCGGAAGCCGGAAACCGTTCGGAGAAATAAAGATCGACACTATCTCTCCGAACGCTCGGAGAAATAGTCACTTCGTAATTATATTGCCAGTCAATGACAATTTAATTTTATGATCATGCCATGTGAAGCGAAATTAAAATCTAGATCTAGTCTATGGCCACCTTTACTCATTGCACTGAGAGTACTCATTAAAAAGTATTGATGAAGCAAAAAGGCTATTGTTAGGGGACCGTATGCCCCCATAGTGTTTGGCGCTAGGGGACCGTACGTTCTACCTGCGCTTAGGCGTGGTGTTACGGGACCTACGCAGATGTGCATGCATCTGGACTTTGCAAAAATACAGGAGGAAAACGGCCAGTTTAACGAAGCTCCTGACGTAAGGAGTTATTACTGGGAGAATGTTTAAAATGTCTGAATACGATTGTGAGGTATCCAGTGGCTGTGGGTGAACCAGAATTTGAAATTTGCTCACGTCTGCACCCACGTTGTTGTTATGTGTCAATAAAAGAAATCAAAGAGGGGGAGGGAGAGAGAGAGAGAGAGAGAGAGAGAGAGAGAGAGAGAGAGAGAGAGAGAGAGAGAGAGAGAGAGAGAGAGAGAGAGAGAGAGAGAGAGAGAGAGAGAGAGAGAGAGAGAGGGAGGGAGAGAGAGAAAGAGAAAGAGAGAGAGAGAGAGAGAGAGAGAGAGAGAGAGAGAGAGAGAGAGAGAGAGAGAGAGAGAGAGAGGGAGGTGGAAAGAGTGGGGGCGAACGATGGGGTTGGCAGGGTATAAAATAATTATGCTATTAGATTGAGAAGAGATCATTAATCATGTAACGCCTTGCGTGAAATATGAGTTAAGAGTACATATTAAATTCATAGTATACCAACTTATGCCTATAGTGCGGTCAAAAATGCACGGCGCAACTTATTGTGAAATATCTCCTTACCTATCGAACATAGATTCTCCAACTTTTGCACAGTGATTTATATCAATTTGTCTTAACAGGTGAATATTTTTTCAAACTCCTGCACACTGCATTTTAGAAAATTCCTTAATAAGTACTAATTAAAAAATCCCAGTCCATTGTTTCTACAAATTTTAAAAATTTAACAGCTCAGGCAATATCGCTTTTAAAAGCAAGTCTGTCATTTTTTTCCAATCGCAATAGCATGCATGCTTATTGAACGTATGTTTAGGAAACCTTTAGTGTAAAAAGAATGCGTTCATTATAAAAACATTTTTGTATGAAGTTTTGCCACTAAAAAGTGTCATTGGCGAGCTATAACGTAGGCCATATGCTTATGCAAAATAATAATAATAATAATATATAACATTTATATAGCGCATTTCCAAAAAAGTAGCTCAATGCGCTTTACATGTGGAATACCCATTTTTCAAAACCTTTCTTACTACTTCCTTTCTTCTCATGCAATATATATTAATGCACACACACACACACACACACACACACACACACACACACACACACACACACAGATTATTTTCATCAAGACATAGGAACAGAACAACTATAATGAAAAATAACGTTAAAAGCTTTAGGCCTGTAGGAAAAGAAATGTTTAAGATGTCTTTTGAAGCTATCAAGTGTTTTTATTTGTCTTAGTTTCATGGGCAATCTGTTCCACATAAAAATGGACCAAGATATGAGAAAGATCTCTCTCCATATGATTTGTATGATTTTACAGGTGTCACAAGTAGGGTGTTATCGTTTGATGATCTTAGGTTTCTCCCTGGCTTATATATACTGATAACTTCTTGTAGATAAAAAGGAGCAGTTTTATTTACACATTTGAAACACATGACGCAGATTTTAAATATTATTCTTTCTTTTACAGGGAGCCAATGCAGTTCTTTTAATAATGTAGTGACATGGTCTCGTTTTTTAGATTTTGTTATCAGTCTCCTTATATTTTCTTGAGAAATATTAATATCTACAGCCGGCCTGCTAAGCCAGTCGCAGTGTCACCAGAGCCCCGTTGGCCAGCAACGTTTCGGGGTGACCTGGGTTGACCACCAAGAAAGAAAGAAAACCAAAAAAGCAAAATAAAAGACAGCAAAAGAGACTAAATATGCACAAACTTGGAGATGATCAGGTGCAGGCTCAGATCAGAAGCACGCTAAATGAAAAGCTAGGCTCTATCAACTCTACTATACTAACTGTAGAGGAAGCTTGGGATATCTTCAAAACAACTCTCCTGGACACTATGAAAGAAGTCTGTGGTACCAAGAAAACAAGAGGAAAACACAGAAAAGCAACAGCCTAGTGGAAAGAAGAAGTTAAGGATGCTATCAAGGAAAAAAAAGAGACTGTATAATGTATGGGTCAAGTCAAAAAACGAAGAGGACTACATTAAATATAGACTTGCAAGAAGTAACAGCAAGAAAGTCGTTATAACATCAAAAGAAAAGTCATGGACCCAGTATGGCGAAAAACTAAGTGAAACCTGCAAGACCTCACCAAGAGAGTTCTACAAGAAGGTAAAGACAATGAGAGTGAGAGACGAACCCTATGTACCCACCACTGTCATCAACGATACTAATGGAGAAGCTCTACACAAAGAGAAAGAAATAATAAAGAGATGGGAAGAATATTTTCAAGAACTACTAAACCCATCAGGAGTACAGGCACAAAACACACAGTGCCCCTTCACCGCCAACTACCTAGAGCACTCAGAACCAACCATCCTGGAGAGTGAAGTGAGAGAAGTACTGAAGACTAGTCCAAAGAACAAGGCAGCTGTAGAAGATGGCATCACAACCGAAGCTATCCTTGCATGCGGCGAAACCGGAATACATTGGCTTACAATCATCTTCCAGAAAGCATGGAAAGAAAGAAAAGTACCAGCAGACTGGCAAAATGTGATAGTGGTGCCAAAACGGAAGAAAAGGGGCAGCAAGAAAGACTGCAACACCTATGGAGGCATATCTCTTCTCAGCCATGCGGGGAAAATGTATGCAAAGATCCTATAGCGACGCACTCGCGCAAAAGCCGAACATCTTCTCAGTGAAGCCCAGTTTGGTTTTAGAAAAGGAAGAGGGTGCACTGATGCAATCTTCGCACTCCGACAACTGTGTGAGAGAGGGCTTTGGAATACGACAAAGATCTCCATCTCGTATTTGTGGATCAATAAAAAAGCCTTTGATCGAGTAAATAGAAACAAGCTATGGAAGATCTTAGATCAGTACGACATCAAGGGACAACTGCTAGACAACATCAGGGCTATCTATGCCAACAGCAGAAATGCAGTCCGAACTACCAGTGGAACACCGGACTGGTTTCCAGTAACATCCGGAGTCGGACAGGGCTGCAATCTCTCCCCTCTGCTCTTTGTGATCTACATGGACCAGATTACAAAGGAGGCCAATCCAGACCCAGAGGCACTCAACGAACTCATGCTTGCAGACGACCTGGCAATGATGAACAACAAGACCCAGCTACAGTAGCATATGAACCAACTAAATGCGAGCTGCGAAAAATACGACATGAAGATCAGTATTAGCAAGACCGAAGTCATGACAATAAGCAGGAGACCACACAAAGTGGATATCAACATCAATGGATCCCAACTAAAACAAAGCAGAGAATTCAAATACTTGGGCAGCATTTTCACAGAAAATGGAAAATTAGATAGAGAAATAGAGACTAGATGCCAGAGAGCCAACGCAGTCAGCTATCAACTCGGCCCTCTCCTGAAATATCCCAATATCCCCATGAGCACCAAGATGAAGCTCATCAACGCCATTGTCCTTCCAACGCTCACATATCAGTGCCAGACATGGTCCCTAACAAAAGCCCTGGAGTGGAAACTGGTCACATGCGAGATTAAATGCTTAAGAAGAGCGGTCAACAAAACAAGAAGAGACAAAATTAAAAATGAAGTCATAAGGGACCCCGTGGGAGCAACACCAGTCCTACCACACATTGAAAAACAAAAGGTCAAGTGGTTTGGACACCTCATGCGGATGCCCTTAAACCATCCAGCTCTGAGAGTATACAACACTAAATATTCTGGATGGAGAGCCAGAGGAAGACCAAGGCGACGATGGAGTGAATCTGTGGCAGACACCTTCAGAGCTCACGGGATGTCCCTCCTACAGGCCACACGCCTTGCTGCAGACAGACGCCTGTGTCTCCCCGCGACACCCCCCGGTACAAGTGGAAGAAAAAAGTAAAGTAAAGTAAAGTTAAGTTATCAGTCTAGCGGCATTGTTTTGAGTTACTTGTAAATGATTCAAATATTTTTCGCGTGATGGAGATTTATAGGCCTAGTATTTTATATAAATTTATGAAGAACATTTTTTTGACTGAGCCTCAATTGTTGTGGAAAAATATTTTTCAGTTAAGTCAATTTTTTATATTCAAACTGCAGTGCAAAGTATGGGTGACATTGATTCTCCCGTTAAAGAGATTGAGGAAAAGTTGCGCCACAAATTTTTGACCTCACTATAGTTTCACGACACCTGTGCACAAAAATAAAGTAGTCCAGTTATACTAATGTTGTTTTATTATTAATGTGGACAGGCGTATAATATTATACGTAATGCGCTTGCAAAATAAACTTTAATTCGTCTGTGCTTAGTTCACAACCCGACGTTCTGTCAAGTCTCTACAATAGTTTGCTTTGCTTTTCATCTACCTTTTCCAAGCTGTCTTCTTTTTCATTTCTTTTCATGTTATTGTTATTGTCACTGAATGTGAGTTGATCTTGCGTCTTGCGCGCTATCAAGACTGAGTGCGTGCTCAGGCATGTTCTCTCATGCAAAAGTGAGTAAATTTTCGGCGTTTACGAGCGTCATTAAATGGGGCTTAGGGGCCTATTTATTTTAGGTCGCAAAGCTTAAAAATGTACCCAGGTCTGCCCGCAGAATGTGCCTGAGCACACACACTATTATACTACTCATTTTTGTCCAAAACATTCCCTTTGTGTAAATTTGTTCATCTCTCTCTTTCTTTCACGAACCCCCCCCCCCCCCCCCCATCTCTCTCTCTCTCTCTCTAAAACACACACACTCACGAACACACACACACACACACGTCACACACACACACACAAACACACACATACTCACACTTTGTCTCCCTCTCTCTCTTCCGCTCCTTCTTACTTTCTTTCTTTCTCACTTCCTTTCTGTCTGTTTTTCACACTCACACACAAACACACACAGACACACACTCACACAGACACTCTCTCTCTCTTTTCTCTCTTTCCCTCTCTCTTTCCCTCTCTCTTTCTCTCCCTCCCTCTCTTTGATTTCTTTTATTGACACATAACAACAACGTGGGTGCAAACGTGAGCAAATTTCAAATTTTGGTTCATCCACAGCCACTGGATATTCACAATCGTATTCAGATATTTTAAACATTATCTTAAGTGACTTAAGTATTAACTCCTTACGTCAGGAGCTTCGTTAAACTGGCCGTTTTCCTCCAGTATTTTTGCAAAGTCCAGATGCATGC